CTAGCTGTCCATCCAGAGAACACAGGGAGAGCACACCTCCTCCCAGGAAGCACCTAGCTGTCCATCCAGAGAACACAGTGGGGGCACACCTCCTCCCAGGAAGCACCTAGCTGTCCATCCAGAGAACACAGGGAGAGCACACCTCCTCCCAGGAAGCACCTAGCTGTCCATCCAGAGAACACAGTGGGGGCACACCTCCTCCCAGGAAGCACCTAGCTACCCATCCAGAGAACACAGTGGGGGCACACCTCCTCCCAGGAAGCACCTAGCTGTCCATCCAGAGGAACACAGTGGGGGCACACCTCCTCCCAGGAAGCACCTAGCTGTCCATCCAGAGAACACAGTGGGGGCACACCTCCTTCTAGGAAGCACCTAGCTGTCCATCCAGAGAACACAGTGGGGGCACACCTCCTCCCAGGAAGCACCTAGCTGTCCATCCAGAGAACACAGTGGGGGCACACCTCCTCCCAGGAAGCACCTAGCTGTCCATCCAGAGGAACACAGGGAGAGCACACCTCCTCCCAAGAAGCACCTAGCTGTCTATCCAGAGAACACAGTGGGGGCACACCTCCTCCCAGGAGGCACCTAGCTGTCTATCCAGAGGAACACAGTGGGGGCACACCTCCTCCCAGGAGGCACCTAGCTGTCTATCCAGAGGAACACAGTGGGAGCACACCTCCTCCCAGGAAGCACCTAGCTACCCATCCAGAGAACACAGTGGGGGCACACCTCCTCCCAGGAAGCACCTAGCTGTCCATCCAGAGAACACAGGGAGAGCACACCTCCTCCCAGGAAGCACCTACCTGTCCATCCAGAGGAACACAGTGGGGCACACCTCCTCCCAGGAAGCACCTAGCTGTCCATCCAGAGAACACAGGGAGAGCACACCTCCTCCCAGGAAGCACCTAGCTACCCATCCAGAGAACACAGTGGGGGCACACCTCCTCCCAGGAAGCACCTAGCTGTCCATCCAGAGGAACACAGTGGGGGCACACCTCCTCCCAGGAAGCACCTAGCTGTCCATCCAGAGAACACAGTGGGGGCACACCTCCTTCTAGGAAGCACCTAGCTGTCTATCCAGAGAACACAGTGGGGGCACACCTCCTCCCAGGAAGCACCTAGCTGTCCATCCAGAGAACACAGTGGGGGCACACCTCCTCCCAGGAAGCACCTAGCTGTCCATCCAGAGGAACACAGTGGGGGCACACCTCCTCCCAGGAAGCACCTAGCTACCCATCCAGAGAACACAGTGGGGGCACACCTCCTCCCAGGAAGCACCTAGCTGTCTATCCAGAGGAACACAGTGGGGGCACACCTCCTCCCAGGAAGCACCTACCTGTCCATCCAGAGGAACACAGTGGGGGCACACCTCCTCCCAAGAAGCACCTAGCTGTCTATCCAGAGAACACAGTGGGGGCACACCTCCTCCCAGGAACCACCTAGCTACCCATCCAGAGAACACAGTGGGGGCACACCTCCTCCCAGGAAGCACCTAGCTACCCATCCAGAGAACACAGTGGGGGCACACCTCCTCCCAGGAAGCACCTAGCTACCCATCCAGAGAACACAGTGGGGGCACACCTCCTCCCAGGAAGCACCTAGCTGTCCATCCAGAGAACACAGTGGGGGCACACCTCCTCCCAGGAAGAACCTAGCTACCCATCCAGAGAACACAGTGGGGGCACACCTCCTCCCAGGAAGCACCTAGCTGTCCATCCAGAGAACACAGTGGGGGCACACCTCCTCCCAGGAAGCACCTAGCTGTCCATCCAGAGGAACACAGTGGGGGCACACCTCCTCCCAGGAAGCACCTGGCTACCCATCCAGAGGAATGCAGGGAGAGCACACCTCCTCCCAGGAGGCACCTAGCTGTCCATCCAGAGAATACAGTGGGGGCACACCTCCTCCCAGGAAGCACCTAGCTACCCATCCAGAGAACACAGTGGGGGCACACCTCCTCCCAGGAAGCACCTAGCTGTCCATCCAGAGAACACAGTGGGGGCACACCTCCTCCCAGGAAGCACCTAGCTACCCATCCAGAGAACACAGGGAGAGCACACCTCCTCCCAGGAAGCACCTAGCTGTCTATCCAGAGAAACACAGTGGGGGCACACCTCCTCCCAGGAAGCACCTAGCTGTCCATCCAGAGAACACAGTGGGGGCACACCTCCTCCCAGGTAGCACCTAGCTACCCATCCAGAGAACACAGTGGGGGCACACCTCCTCCCAGGAAGCACCTAGCTACCCATCCAGAGAAACACAGTGAGGGTGTGCCTCCTTTCAGGAAGCACCTAGCTACCCATCCAGAGAAATACGGTGAGGGCATGCCTCGTTTCAGAATCACGTAGTTACCCATCCAGAGAAACACAGGGAGAGCACACCTCCTCCCAGGAAGCACCTAGCTACCCATCCAGAGAACACAGTGGGGGTGTGCCTCCTCCCAGGAAGCACCTAGCTGTCCATCCAGAGAACACAGTGGGGGTGTGCCTCCTTTCAGAGGCAGGCTGCAAGCACGGAGACAAAAGCACTGCATTTGGGGCACTGGCAGGGACCGACCCCAGCAACAATGATAGAAAAAGCAACAGAGGCTGTGTGTGCCATGGGACAGCTACAGAAAGCACAAAAATGGGAAAAGTGAAAGGAATCCTTTAAGATACAAATTGGTACAACTACAGAGGAATGACTGATGTAAAACTTGGAATCAGCCAGGCGTGGTGGCTCGTGCCTGTAATCTCAGCACTTTGGGAGGTCACCTGAGGTCAGGAGTTTGAGACCAGCCCAGCCAACATGGTAAAACCCCATCTCTACTAAAAAATACATAAATTAGCCAGGCATGGTAGCGGGCACCTGTAATCCCAGCTACTAGGGAGGCTGAGGCAGGGGAACTGCTTGAACCCTGGGGGTGGAGGTTGCAGTGAGCTGAGATCGTGCCATTGCACTCTAGCCTGGGCGGCAAGATTAAAACTGCCGAAAAAAAAACAAAGACAAAAAAACCCAACGACTCAGAATCATCACTTCCTAGACTGTGAGCTGAGAGGGATAAGGCTGAGAAGGGGGAGCTGGGGCTCAGCGCGTGAGCCATGGCCCATTCTAAACTGGGCACAGGTATGTGGCCTCTTCTCACTACCATTTAAACTGTAAAATTGTGCATTATACGTATTTCTATTTTTTTACAGGCTGAGTGTCCCTTATCTGAAATTCTTGGGACCACAAGTGTTGGGATTTCCTTTTTAAATTTTGGAATATTTGCCTTTTACTTGCTGGTTGAACGTCCCAAATCTGAATTCTTCCAAGGAGCACTGCCTTTTGGCATCACATGGACATTCGGAGCATTTGGAGCATTTGAGGCCGAGGTGGTCGGATCACTTGAGGTCAGGAGTTTGAGACCAGCCTGGCCAACATGGTGAAACCCCATCTCTACTAAAAATACAAAAATTACTGGGCATGGTGGGAGGCACCTGTAATCCCAGCTACTTGGAGGTTGAGGCAGGAGAATTGCTTGAAGCCAGGAGGCGGAGGCTGCAGTGAGCTGAGATCACACCACTGCTCTCCATCCCAGGTGATAGAGTGAGACTCTGTCTCAGAAAGAAAAAAGAGAATTTGAAGAATTTTGCATTTTGTTTTTGGATTTGGGGTTTTCAACATGTAAACCTGCACAGAACATAATAAAAACATAAATTAGGAAATGAATGGCAAACTAGAATTCCTTAATCCTGACAGGTGGGCCTGCCAAAATCGGAGTGCATGGAAGCCACCGCCAGGTCAGCTGGGGAGGAGATCACAGAGATGGAGCCCTCAGCAACGGCTCTGCTCTAAGAGTTTCCTGCAAACCGTTTTCTCTGTTAGTATTTCCCCGGCTGACCTAACTTACGAGGAGTTTTCTGCATCACTTCAGGCTCTGCACACGCCACTTGTGCTGGCAATGCCACCATTTTAATGGCCCAGCCCTAATCACGAATTGCAGGTCACCTCCGGTTTTGTGCTATTAAAAGTAAGATGCTGTGGAAATGTCTGTTTGCATCTTCCTTTGTTTCTAAACTAGGCTGCTTATGAGAACCGCTCCCTGGATTGGGAATCCTGATTCCAGACACATAAGCACATCTCAAGGTCTCTGATGCCTAATGATGCCACGCTTTCCAGAAAGGCCGTGCCCTCCAGCGTGGGCTTCTGCTGACACTGCAATAGCACAGCAGAGCCTTTCCCTATCCCGGCCTCCGTCCTCACCAATGAAACACAGACGGGAATGCGGGAGATCCCGGCCTCCTTCCTCACCAATGAAACACAGACGGGAATGCGGGAGATCCCGGCCTCCTTCCTCACCAATGAAACACAGACGGGAATGAGGGAGATCCCGGCCTCCTTCCTCACCAATGAAACACAGACGGGAATGAGGGAGATCCCGGCCTCCTTCCTCACCAATGAAACACAGATGGGAATGAGGGAGATCCCGGCCTCCTTCCTCACCAATGAAACACAGACGGGAATGAGGGAGATCCCGGCCTCCTTCCTCACCAATGAAACAGATGGGAATGAGGGAGATCCTGGCCTCCTTCCTCACCAATGAAACACAGACGGGAATGAGGAGATCCCGGCCTCCTTCCTCACCAATGAAACACAGACGGGAATGCGGGAGATCCCGGCCTCCGTCCTCACCAATGAAACACAGACGGGAATGCGGGAGATCCCAGCTCCCTTCCTCACCAATGAAACACAGACGGGAATGAGGGAGATCCCAGCTCCCTTCCTCTCAACATGAAATACAGAAGAGAAGGCTGAAAACCAACTGTGGCAGTAAACAGGATAGGAAAACAGAAAAAGTATAAATTGATAACTCCAGTTAAACAGACATGGTCTGTCTATTAAGTCATTATAATACGCCGAGAAAATACAGATACTGTGAACTGTTTAAACGATCCTAGCATGTTAAATCACACTACATGCTGCTGTTTCACGGGTCTGCAAGACAGGATGCAGCCACCCAGACTGCAGGTGCCACTCACCAGTCACTTTGGGAATCCCCTGTAGACGCGGGACCGGCAGGGCCACGAGGACTCCCAGGCTGGTGCCGACCATCAGCAATCCATGGCAGACAAGCAGGCTCGTCACCGACAGCCGCTGGTGCCCTGGGTGGGGAGACACAGAAGTGGCTTCAGGCCTGGTTTGTGCAGCAGAGTCGGTGGGATGGTGAGGGGGCGCCGGGTGTGGCACTGGAAACCCCAGGGGTCTGTTGTGCCACCACCAAACACCCTAAGGGCAGGAGGTGGCACAGGAGTTCCCAAACCCCAGCACTGGGCTCCCTCAACCACATGAGCAAGACAAGGGTCTTGGGGTACATCCCACACCCGCACCTGAACAGAACAGGGCAGATCCCGGCTGGGTCTCCCGGACTGGTGCCGACCATCAGCAATCCGTGGCACATGAGCAGGATCTGCACAGATCTGCTCGGCCCCTTCAGCTGTGAATCAAGCCCCCGGAAGCATCTTCTAAACCTTTTGCTTCTGGGCCGTGCAGCAAGTGAGCCCGTAAGCCCCAACACACACAGCGGCCTGTGGCTCTTCGGGAACACAGAGGCCCCTTTACAAGTAAGGAGAGGTCTCTTAACGGGCGCTGCTGGACTCGAGTAACGGGCCCTCAGCTGCAGCTGGATCCCAGAGGGGACTGAAAGTCCTCTCCAGGGCACTGCATGAAGAACAACATCGTCACACGGCCTCCGCGCTGGACACAGCAGGGAAACACCGCAGTGGACGGCGGGATCAGAAGGGCCTTTGAAGCTCATCGTCAGTTTGGTTTTGATTTGCTTTACGGCGAAACAGCTGAAGCGCAGAGAAACTAAACAATTTACTCTGGCTGAGACAAGGCTAGAAAGTGGCCGCAAAAGAATGTGGGAGACGCATGGCCTGCTCCATAGACCCCGCCTGACCGCAGTTTACAGGGCGGGAGACGCATGGCCTGCTCCACAGACCCCGCCTGACCGCAGTTTACAGGGCGGGAGATGCATGGCCTGCTCCATAGACCCCGCCTGACCGCAGTTGACAGGGTGGGAGATGCATGGCCTGCTCCATAGACCCCGCCTGACCGCAGTTTACAGGGCGGGAGATGCATGGCCTGCTCCATAGACCCCGCCTCCCCGCAGTTTACAGGGTGGGAGACGCATGGCCTGCTCCAAAGACCCCGCCTGACCGTAGTTTACAGGGCGGGAGATGCATGGCCTGCTCCATAGACCCCGCCTCCCCACAGTTAACAGGGTGGGAGACGCATGGCCTGCTCCATAGACCCCGCCTGACCACAGTTGACAGGGAGGGAGACGCATGGCCTGCTCCATAGACCCTGCCTGACCGCAGTTTACAGGGCGGGAGATGCATGGCCTGCTCCATAGACCCCGCCTCCCCGCAGTTTACAGGGTGGGAGACGCATGGCCTGCTCCAAAGACCCCGCCTGACCGCAGTTTACAGGGTGGGAGACGCATGGCCTGCTCCAAAGACCCCGCCTCCCCGCAGTTAACAGGGTGGGAGACGCATGGTCTGCTCCAAAGACCCCGCCTGACCGCAGTTGACAGGGCGGGAGACGCATGGCCTGCTCCATAGACCCCGCCTGACCACAGTTGACAGGGTGAGCCTGGACTTTCATGTCATTCCACTACAGCTGATGCAATCGTCAGCATCACAGCTCTCAAAAACAGACAAGATCGTGCTGGGTGTGTCTCTGTTTAGCCCCAGAGCAGAGGGCCAAGAAGGCGGCCTTAGCTCCTGAGAGGCTGCGGCGAACATTTAAAGAGTTTGATTCTTCTTTTCAGCATACGTCCCCACCCTTAACACAGAGTTCATTTCAGATAAAGAGCATGACAACCTGAATGTAAGATGCTAGGAAGGGAAGAAACCCCATGGGGCGCCGGGAAAGGCTGTGGTCGTGTGACTGAAACCGTGGCTGGGCTTCTGGAAGGGCTCCTGAAATGCGGGACAAAGTCTGCATTTAATAAGAAGGGTGAAAGCAGGTAAAAACCAGATGCGAATGTTTCTAACTGGTTTGAAAGTATCCAGGAACTAAAGGGTTAAGTTCCAGGGCGTGGTTTTCCACTGCGTTTTCTAAGCAGTCCACCAATCAGCATCTTTAATTTTACATGCGGAAGTTGATGGCCATGGTCACGTGGTCACATGGTCATCTTCTGATTCCAGAGGCTGCTGTGAGTGCCGCTGTCCAGGCGTCCCATGCCCATCTGGAGGCACCAACAGTGACCTAGAGTGGGACACCAGGGCGTGTCCCAGAAGGGGCTGTGTACTGGGGGCTGAAGCCCGTGTGAGGTTGATGGTGAGGTGGGAGGCGGGGATAGCTGAGGTGGGGTAAGAGGTTGGTAAATGGGACTGAACGCGGGTGAGCTGCTACTGGATGACAAGGTCCCCGGGAGCCACCAGGGCCTTCCCGCAGGCAGCCTCAGAGGGAGACACATCTCCCACCCTGGGAGCAGCCGTGGAAGCTGGGAGGGGCTGGGGGCATAAACAGCACCATCCAAGTTCATTCAAAGAACCTCACAGATAGAACAGTGACTAGAAGGAACAAACACGTCCCCCAAGTGTGGGACAAAATGCGCTTCCCAGCCCGGAACATAAACTGCAGGATAGGCCAGGGCCACGCCGACTGCTGAGAGAGGCTGACTCCCAAGTCCTCAGTCTTGTTCTTTAATTCACAATCCGGTTTCATTTACTGAATTCCCTTAAGGTGAGGTCCATGGTCTTTAGGAAAGTTACACTGTTTTTGTTTTTAATGGAAATTTTGGTCATTTTATTTGGTCACGTAGTTCCTGGAGCTCTGTATTCACTCAGTGGAGACACAAAAAGACACAATTTGCCATGAGGTTTCAGCAGTTTTCCATCAAAAATACCCTCCTTTGAACATGTGGGACAAAGCAGGAAACATCTGCCTGGTGACGTAACCTGCTGCAACCACTCAGAACCTCAACAACTGAAGCACGTTGGACTCAATCGCCGTAAACTCTACTCTGTAGCTTAGACAGGCAATGACAGCTCTAACAAATACGTATGTTAATTACAGACCTTCACCAACTGTTAGTTTGTGTTGGATCTGTTGAGGCTCATGTGAAGGAACGGCAGCTACATGATTTTCAGAACTGGATTCCAAACAGAAGGAGAAAAGCCAGGTCCTTAGCTACAGATTCACAGATTCCCCAGGGGCCAGCATGCTGAGATCCCGAGGAAGGAAGGTTTCATCAGGCCGTGTGAACTTATACAAAAGGTGTGAGTTACGGTACAGTTTGTTTTGTTTTGTTTTGTTTTTCAAAATCTGTTGTTTTTGGCTTGGCAAGTCCTGATTTGCAGAAGCGACTTGACTTTTATATTCCAGCAATAATAGCATAAAAAGATAATTTTACTTCTTGTTACACACACACACACACATTTGAGCACAGTCAGGAATACAACTCTAGAATGAAAGTTTTGCGTGTGTGCACACAGAGCACAGAGGACGTGTGTGCACACGTCTCCAGGAACCATCCTGGACAAGCAGGAGAAGAACCCAGGAGCGCTGATGGCCCCGCACAGGATGAACACACCCCGACTGGAATGTCTAAATGCAGCATGAAAGGCACTAATGCTTATTTCTGTGAAATACTGGCTAAAAGGCAAAGAGGACTGGACAGAAGAGATGGGGGAAAAGGACTCTGGAAAGGACGCTCTGGCCTACTCGTTCCCTCTGAGTCACAAAACGCAATGAAAATCAGAACAATTTCAGACCGTGCCGTACCAAGGATCTTGTAGAGTCACTGTCAGAAGCATCACAAACGAAACTGAACGGGTGTCGCCACAGTCTGCTCTGACCCGCACACCTCTGCTAGTGACAAGGCCACCGCAGCAGCAGACCACAGCCTGGGAGCACAGTGAATGTGGGTAAAGCAGTAAGTGTCCCCCAGAAACCAGTGAAGCTGGAGCTGTTGCAAACTTAGTACTGAAATGCCGGAGAAATGCGCCAGCTAGAGGATGCTGCTCCATCTGGACTGGTGCATGCGCTTACTCTGGTGAAGTCTAAAATGCAGACCTACCATGTGTGCAGGAATAAGCAAAGACCCACAGAGCCTACGGAGCAGGGGGCTAAGAGCACGCACTGTGGCCACGCAGAGCCAGCCCAGGATGTTGGAGGGGCCTGGGAGGGTGGGCGCCAGGGGAGGGTGGCTCTGCAGAGCCCCACGAATCTGCTGGCACCAAGTGAGAGGCTTGTGGCAGGCTTGGGATGCATCCTGCACCAGCAACTGGAAACCATGAGCTGAAGGGTGAAAAGTGCCGAGGAAGGGAAACTCAGCGCCCAGCCACAAACAACTCTGCCATTCAAAACAATCAACACAGCCAGCTGCGATTCAGCCGGAATCTGTGACCTGAGCACCCAGGAAGGGCTCTGCATTCCACTTCTGGGTGGGTGCAGGACTGTGCTGGGTGCTCCATACCTGGAGGGAGGCAGGATAATTCCATCTTCTCTTCTACAAGATAGGTCAAAGATGGATCCAAAATGAAACAGCAAGAACCTGCCAAACAGGCACAGTGTTCAAACAGCAGCAGCAGGGAGGCGGGTGGGACAGGCAGCTGATGGGGGGGTGGGCACTGACAGCGGGGTGGGGTGCTGGGATGAGGGGGTGGGGTGTGGAGATGGGTGGGGTGGGTGCTGACAGCAGGGTGGGGTGCTGGGATAGAGTGGTGGGTGCTCACAGTGGGGTGGGATGTGGGGACGGAGGGGCAGGGACGGCTGCCAACTGGGGTGGGGTGCTGGGGTGAGGGGCAAGTGCTGACAGTAGGGTGGGATGCTGGGACGGGGGTGAGGCTGTGGGTCCCCAGAGCGCAGACTTTCCTCTTCTGCTTTGCTGTTCATAGCCTGGGCGTGAGTGCTGTTTGGTTTTATTAAATCGTGTATAAGGGTTATTTTGTTAAGAAATCAAATTCCAAATACAAACTCCACTCACACTTGCCAGTCTTCCCTTCATTAGGTTCTCTTTCTGATCCTAACTGGAGAGGGATAGACACCAAGTGTCCTGCAGGGCTGCTGCATTTCCATGTCAGCTCTTGGAACTCTGGAGCTGGGGTAACCGTGCTGGCCTTCTCTGGATTTGGAGGCTCAGGGGCTGGAGCCCGTGGGAGGTCAAGTGGCAGGGTTTTTCTCACACCCTCCTCACCTCCCCTTGTGTACAGAACTGTGAATACTCGGACACTAGCTGCCACGTGAGAGCTTTGGCAATCGTGGATGTGACTTGGGTCGGTCCCAACGACGACAGCCCAAACATTTGTTCCAACACCAAGTGCTCCAAAGAAAACACAAGGTCTGCAGCAGAGTGTCCGTCTGCTTGTTGAGTGACAGGGACTTCACCACTCTCGTTCTCTAAATATAAACCCGCATGTTACATAAACCTCCTTTTCCTCACTAATAGAAATCTACAGTATTTTAACAATGAATTGCACAGAGTTAGCCCCAAAGAAAAGAACAGCTATCGCAGACTCTGGGTGAACCAAATATATTCACCCTCCCACCGCCAGTGACGCAGAGGCCCCAAGGAGCGGCCTCAATTCCTCGTCCTCCTCATCCTCTCCTTGTCAAAGGATGGCCTCACACCCACTGTGGAATCTGATCCCTAATCACTGTTTTATTTTCAGTGTTTCATAAATGGCCCCTGCCATGGACTCGGTTTGTCTCCCCAGATTTCTGTGCTGAAGCCCTGCCCCCAGTGGGATAGTGTGAGAAGGTGGGGCCTTGGGGGGTGATGGTGATGAGGTCCTGAGGACATGGTCCCCATGATGGGATCAGTGCGCTTACACGAAGAGGGGGAGACGTCAGGGCTCTTGCTCCACCACATGAGAGCCCAGAAGGCACCAACTGCAAAGCAGGAAGCAGATCCCCCCAGAAGCCCGCCTTGCCAGCACAAGAGCCTCCAGAACAGGGAGGAAGGAGCAATCTCTCTCGCTTGGAAGCCAGCCCGTCTGTGGCGTGTATCACAGCAGCCGAGGGGCTCCGAGGCAGAGCCCTTACTCCATGCCTTCCCCTTAATACTGCAAATGTCTTCCAACACCCACCAGAAGGCAAAGAACCAAAACAGCCCTTCCACCGACCCCGCCGTGGCCTCAGGTTACCTGTGAAGGAAGCCAGTTGGGACCCTCCTCATTTCTTTCCTCCACATCCTGTTGTAGAATGATCTTCCCCCAACTCAGTGTGTAACAGCCTTCTCCTCTCCCCTGCCCAAAAACTTCAGTCACACCCACCAGCAACAGGGCATTCACAAACATACGCCTCTGTGGGCCTCTCCCAGACAGCCCTCCCAGCCACAGGGAGCCTCCTGTCCTGTGTTCTTCAGCCTCTCGTCCTGGTTTCCCCAGGGCCTTGTGTGCCGACGATGAGAAATTGTCTCCCACCTGCTCTGACCTACAGAGACGGCACTGCCATGCAGCTCCTCCCAGCAGGCGGCTCCTTCAGGGGCCTCCGTGTCCTCACCAGGAAGGGCTCAGGTGGGCCGACTGCACTCCACACCCCCACGCCCGTCCCCAGGCCCTGCCCCGCCCCCTTACCTGGCAACATGTTGTGAACAGGGGTGGCAATATTGATGTCCTGAAGGTGCTTCAGTGTTTCCGTGTGGAAAAGGCGGAGCGTGGACCCCGAGGTGAAGGCCACCCAGATGCCGACACCGGCCACGGCCATGTGGGAGATCACCATGCCTTCCTCCTGGTGGGCCTCCAGCTGACCCTGTGACATCGAGAGATCATGGGTGGGTGTCAGGATGTGCCAGAGTGACAGATCCACAAGTCTGCTGGCCCCGTGGAGTGAGTCTGAGCAGTGCCTGTCAGGCCCGTGCGCGTGGAGCGACATTTAGTGGCTGAAGGTCGCTCTGTAGCAGCAGGCTTTGCTCCAAACCACAGCCCTCTCCAGCAACCAAACACCAGCAACCCAACTGTCAACCATTCTCTAGTCATCCTGGTTCCTTCGTGAGCCCAGACAATGGCCATTCAAGACACAGCCACGGTGCACCTGCTGAGGGGTGCAGGCCACTGAACTTGTGTCCAGGAGACACGGGTGAGAGGAGGCACAGGAGGAGGACCCGAGCCGTGGGGACTGATGGAGGAGGCCGATTCATCCTGCCAGGCCCATCAGAACCTGCCCGGAACTTTCCCCAAGGTCTCCAGGCTGTGGTGTGAGGCCCCACCGCCTGCCTGAAGCTCAACCCTGGTTCTGAGTCTGCACCTCCTCCTGGCTCTGCTGCTCTGGAAGGAACCCTCTGCTTCTCCATGCAACGTGGTCCTTCTGGAGCTTCCATTCTCAGCTACAGCCCCGAAGATCCGAAAGCTCATCCCAGCAGCCTGCTCTGAAGGGTCCCACTGGAGCCAGAGCCTGGACCTGGGCCCTCCTTACCTGGCAGCCAGCAGGGGCTGCTCATGCGGCGACCTCCCCTACATGGCCTCAGGGGCTGCCTGGTGTCCAGGCTCTCTGGGATCAGTCCCAGGAGCACTGTCCCTGCCCTGCCCATCAGGGATTGGAGGGGGCAGCAGGGGGTGGCCTGGGATGAAGCTTAGAGACACTGAGTCCCCAGGAAGCAGCAGCCTCACAGCCCTTGAAATTAAAGAAACTCATAATCCTGCAGAATTATCTAAAGTAAACTGATGAAACTCATAAAAAACCCATAGGAAATATCCAGGCTGACATCTCTGCCCGAAGAGTTGCTCCTCGGTCTGCAAATAAGGGGAAAGACAACCACCCCCATGGTGAAGACTGCTGACTCCACACACATGCCCTGTGGCACCAAACCCGCACCTTGCAGCACTGTGCTGTGCCCAGCACCCAGCAGGCAGGAACTCAGGGATTCGACTTCAGCAGATGGGACATCCCATCTCCCCCAGTATCACCTCTTATTTCAGATCAGATGCCATCAGGAGCAGAGGGAAGAGGAGGACCCCAGCTTACACCGGGGGTTGCAGGGCCTGAGAGCAACACCATATGAGGAGGGGGCTGTGTCTTCAGGCTGGGGTTCCGAGGGAGGCGATACAGTGCAGGAGGCTGGCCCCCATGGCCGTGGGTCCCTTCACTATGGGTCTTGAGTATGCTCCACATCTGACTTTCCATGCCCTGGAGCAAACTGGAACCCCCCCGCCCAGGTCCTGTGATGTGAAGTGAGGGGCCCTGCTTCTAAAATGCCCATTCTAGAGTCAGCCCTGTAAACGACCCTCAGCACATGCACATAGTTTCCTCATATAAGATTTCTTCAATAATCCCAAGTTGAATTTAAATATTTGTCAATGGAAAGGAACTGGTGCTCACAATTGCGAAGGAGGCTGCGTCACCAGCTTGCGACTTGGTTCCTGTGCAGAGAATCCAGCTCCTACTCCCCAGCGGAACACGAATCTCACACACAAAGATCCCAAGCGTTTTTATGAACTGAAGCCTCACAGAATCTTCACACTCTGAAACATCTGGGCTGTGCGGTGTGGGAGAAAGAGCATCTCCCTGGGAGTTGGGAAATCTGGGTTCAGATTCCAGATGGTTCTAGCGAAGGGCTATTTTTGGTCCCCTCCTCCCTCTGACTTGGCTTCCTGCGTCACAGAGGAAAAGGCGCACAGGCCAACACTCCCCCAACACACCACCTCCAACTGCAGAGCTCCCTGAATCTACAGAAGGGCCTCCTCCCAGCACTGGCTCCTTCCTGCCCTGTTCCTTGCCTGGCTGGGATGAGCGGTCCTCCCTCCTCCTGCCTGTGCTAGGCAGGCTGTTCCCAGCAGCTGTCTCAGTGTCAGCTCGTCCACCTGTTTCAGGCTCACACCTGCTAACTTCCCAGCTACCTCCAAAACTGCCACCTCCTTTTGAAAAAAAAACTGAGCTATAATTCACATATCACGAAGTTCACCCTTTTAAAGTGCACAATTCGGTGCTTTTTAGTATATCTGGAAAGTTGCCAACCTTCACCACTCTTGAATCCCGGAACATTTCATGACCCTCCTGCCCCCTCCCCAGCCCCTGACAACCACTCATTCACCTTCTGTCTCTGGGTTAGCCTCTCTGACATTTCATATCAACAAAATCCGACAATGTTTGACCTTTTGTTTCTGGCTGCTTTCACTGCACGTGGCGTCTTTCAGGTTCATCTGTGTGTTGGTGTCAGCAGGGGCTTCACTCCTTTCTACGGCTGCATCAAATCTCAGCGTATGAAGGAACCACATTCTGTTTGTCCGTTTGTCAGTTCATGGGCGTCTGGGCTGCATTTGCTTTTTGACTATTAATAACGCTGCTATGGTCATTCGTGTCCACATGAACATCAGGTTCTTCTGAATCCACACCGGTGACAGGAAATGCTGGGTCACGTGGTAATGCCACGAGTTACTTTTTGAAGAACTCACAAACTGTTTTACCACAGATTATACCATTCTGCATTCCCACCAGCAAGTTAAGAGTCTCCCATGTCCTCACGTGGTCTCCAGTACGTGCTGGCTCCACTGACATTATTCTTGCCATCCCCAGTGTGTGGCATAGAGTCTCACTGTGGTTTCGCTCCGTGTTTCCCTCGCAAGCAACAATGCTGACCGTCTTCTCACACGTATGGGCTGACTGTACGTCTCTGTTGGAGAAATCCATTCAGCTTCCTTGCGTTAATAAGGTTAGTTTTCTTTTTATTAACTTCTAGGAGTGTATTAGATGCTCTGCATACCTGGTCCTCCTCACGTGAGCTGTACCTATTTTCTCCCACTCTGTGGGTTGTCTTTGCGCTCCCTCGATAGTGTCCTTTGAAGCAAAAAGGCTTTAATTTTAACGAAGCCCAATGTATCTTATCTTTCCACATTGGTTGCTTGTGCTTGAAGTGTCAGATCTAAGAAACCACTGTCTAGTCAGAAGTCATGGATCTACCCCTATGATTTCTTTTAAGTTGTTTGTAGTTTTAGCTCTTACATTTATGTTTCATTCATTCGAGATAATTTCGTATGTGGTGTGAGGCAGGGGTCCCACTTCGGTCTTCTGCACGTGGACACCCAGTTGTGCCAGCAGCACCTGTTGAAGAGGCGATTCAATATTCAAATGGAAAATTTTTGGCATCGTGTTGAAAATTACGTGACCACAGACACATGTGGTCTCCAGTCTATGTCACTGATGTATGTGTCCTGTGCCAGGATTATGCTGTCTTGCTTACTGTGCTGTGTGGTAAAACCTGAAATTAGAAAGTATGAGCCTCTAATTTTGTTCTTTTTCCAGTTTATTTTGTCTATTATGGATCTTCTCCATTTCCAGATAAATCTCGGGATGTGCTTGTCAACTTTTGTTAAAAAAAAAAAAAGCAGTGGAAATTTTTATAAGGATCGTGTTGAATCCGCAGATCCATTTGGGGACTGTGTCTTCCAATCTATGAACAGAGGATGCCTTTCTCTTTATTTAGGTATTCTTCAATGTCTTTCAATGATGCCTTGTGGTTTTTGTAATTTTCTCTAAGTATTTTTCTTTTTAACACATTATAAATGAAGTCATTCTCCTTGTCTCACTTTCAGGTTGTTTGCTGCTAGTGCAGATATTTAATTGATTTTTGTATACTGACCTTGTGTCCTGTAGCCTTGCTCAACCTGTTTATTAGTCCAGTAGTTTTGCTGCAGATTCCTCAGAATTTTCTGCATACAAGAGCGTATCGCATGCAAATGGAACTTCACTTCCTCTCATCTGGATCCTGCAGTACTACTGCGAACAGAAACGCTGCAAGGCACCGTTGTCTTGTTCTTGATCTTCAGGGGAAAACTTTTCTTTAAGCTTAAAGTACGACGTTAGCTGTGAGTGTTTTACAGATGCCATTTGGCAGACTGAGGAAAAGTCGCCTCCTATTCTGAGTGTTTTTATCATAAAATGGGGATAAATTCTGTCAAGTACTTTTTGTGTGTCAACTGAGATGATCTGATCATGTGGTCTCCCCCCCCCATTATTCTGTTAATGTGATGCATTCCAACGATTGATTTTCACGTGTGGAACCATCTTTGCATTTCAGGAATTCATCTCATTTTTCCAGAGTACACAATCCTTTCAGTATGCTGTCGACTTCCCTTTGCAAGTCTTCTGTTGAGAATTTTTGCATCCGTGCTCACAGCGGATACTAGTCGGTGGTTTTCTTGTTGTGTCTTTGGTATCAGGGTCACACTGACTTCAAAATGAGTAGGAAGTGTTGTTCCCTCCTCATCATTATTTTTGGAGAGTTTGGGAAAGAGTGATGTTAATTGTTTTTTAAGATGTTTGGTTGGAATTCACCAATGAAGTCATCTGGTCCTTGCCTTTTTTTGTTAAGAAGTTTGCGACTGAATCAACTTCCCTACTAGCTTCAGGTCTATTCAAATCTTCTATTTCTAGTTCTTCATGATTCCGCTGTGGTAGTTTGTGCCACTCTGAGTCTGTCCATCTCGTCTAGATTATCTAAGTTGTTGGCCACCTGCTGCCTGTTTCATGCACAAGTCTCCATCATAGCTGGTTCCTTGAGCCAGTTCAGAATAAAGCAGAAATTACTCCCCGGAAAACTGTTTTGGGCAGAAAAAGGCGACTTCCGCAGAGAGCATTTTAAAAAGCAAAACGAAAACCTTGGTGTGAGGGAACTCTGGTGTGACTGGAGAATAAAGGAGGAGCTCTTCTTTCTGTCCTTGGGCTGTTGACCCTTTCACAAACACAATCCAAACTTACGGAAAGATGGTTTTAAAAAAACCAAACCCATGGTTTGCTGGCCATCAGACCTGGAGTTT